AACAGAAAAGAGCTTGAAAAGCCCAACAAAGCCTCATATCTCAAATATTTCACAGAGTGGAGCTTAACAGATCTATTCCGACACGAAGACGAGGCTTTGAAGGCTTAGGCACACAATACAAATTCACAGTGTGACCAGCAAATAGATCAGATCTCTAGGATTTATAACTATGAAGACAACACTGTGGGCCTAATCTAATTAAAACAACTCTGCAAGAAAATTAAACAACACTGACTGTGGAATGAAATCACAGTCTGCTCAGGTAACTAATCATGGGTTGTCTCGTATGTCAACCAGCACAATAATTAACAACTCAGATTCCTCGAGTGCTTTGCTGAGAACTTGTGTTGTTGTAAAGAGAGGCCTGATCAACACCGGACACCCAGACACTCACAAATACACGCCTAAGGGAGAGGAGGGGGCCGTGGAAGCCAAAACCAAGCTATATTTAACATCTTCTACATGTGGGCTTCATTTGGGTGAATGGGCCTGCATACCTCCACTGACAAGAACCAGGCAGACCCCAATCCTCCAATCTCTTAACCCTTGCACCCCTGTACCGAGAAAGGCTGAACTCTATTGACTTGGATCCTTCTATTAATCTGAAGGTCTGACTCTCCTGTCACTCCTTGACTATTAGGAAAATCCATCCATAATGTGACATGGTTTAACTGAAGAGGGGGATTATGATCAGGCGGTCTTGAGTTTGATTCAGAAGGGCTGAGACATTTGCTGATATGTGGCCATGTGGTTTGAGTCGGTTTTTTATGGTGGCATTGATCACTCAGAGTGCATGAGAGTCGTGAGCTTGATCTGTTTCTCTCTGTTCGGTGTTATCTGTGTTCCAGACCCGAGGCCTTGAATCTTTTCTCCAGCCCCTCCACACCTCTGCTCCGCTCCAGATGTCTGTAGCACACACATGGGCTCATAACACAATTATGATACTATACAGGCCCTGACCCCCAAACAATGATCCAGGGCTTTCAAAATGCAATTAAATATATGTTTAACAGTGTTAAAGCCATAAGGTCATAAATATCTGGGTGTTGCAAGTGTCCTGATATCATAAAATCTTATTAAAATTGTACAATTCTTGAAAAAAAAAAAAAGTAAACTGTTTAGCTTAGGGCTGCACGATATATCGAAAATATCGCAAATGTAAATATCGCGATATCCATATCGCAAGGGCGTGCGATATCTGAATAATTTTAATAATAGGCTGCTTAAATCAAAACGTTGCAAAAGGTCAAAGTTTTAGTTCGACGCATATAGCAGAGAATAGCTTGACGTTACAAAGAGTTATTAAGTGCAATAAGTTGCAGAAAACAACTCTTTGCCGTCTCGTCTTGCTGTCTGACTCACACCTGAAGCGCGCGCACAAGCCGCATCTCGCACAGCGTATCTTCCGTTCGGCGCACAGAGAGATGCGTTTCAGATGGCGCGCGAACACCGAGTTGATTCGTCTTTCGCATCTCCTCATGTTTGAACAGACACATACACACAGAATTATGTCAATAGTATCCGTCTCGACGATCATTCTCGTAAACGCAGTCGGTTATGTTTTAAATGAATGTAAACAGCTGAGAAAGAAATCGGATGTGTATCATTATACTGGATCCGTGCAGTCAGATTTAAAGGGACAGCAGCCTATAAATATGTGCTGCTGAATATGTCACTAATGTTAATCAAACAACAAAACAGCTATAACAAAGATTAATCTAAATTTAATTCATTCAGTGAACACAATGCTTCATTGCAATCACAATGCTAATGTATTCAGGTACAGAAATTTAATAATTAAGTGTAAAATAACACTTTATTTTACACTTAATTATTACATTTCTGTACCCGAATACCATTTATTTTATCTATGCTTGTAAATTGTGTATTGGTTCTTTTTTCCCCCCTTTTTCTTTCTTTTTTTTACTGACTGTTCACTTGCCTTTAATCATGTTTGTACTTTCTCAGACTATATTTTTTGCTGTGGTATATGAAGAAGTACTTCAAGTGTATGGAAAGCAAAGTCACAATGATATAAAATTAGTGTCATTCATTTTTTTATCATTCACATTGATGTTAAAAATTATATTTTCTGATTTGTGGTATCGCATATCGCATTTTTTTTCAATATCGCACAGCCCTAGTTTAGCTAAATCTTTTATCATTATCAAAACTGATACAGCAGTTAAATATAATTTTTTTTTACATTTAGTCAAGGTCATGTGGTACAATCAACAGTCATGTGATTAATGATATCTATGAATTAACAATTCAAGATTTGTAAAATTTATTTTACTTTGAAAACTAAGGAAAACATAACTTAAATTTAAATAAAAATGTTATTACTTTTTTTTATCTGAAGGTTACACCACATTACATTTTTACACTACATACATGAAATAAAATTTTGGTTGAAAATGAATTTTTTAATTTTTTTTATTCATATGAAACTACACATTTAAGATTTGCTTTTGTTTATTGATACTCTTACATGTCAGTGACCTGAAAAAAATATTTGTAAAATATCATCAATTATATTAACAGTCCATAAAATCTGGAGGAAATTGTTACTTAATTATAACAGAAAGGAACATCTTACGAATGTATATACAATAAAACAAATTTTTATGCATCTATCCATCCATATATACATCATCTATGTCAATTAATTGCACTTATTATTTTGATTCCTTATCAAGGAACTAAAAACAAACAAATAAATAAATGAATAAAGATCCCTTTAAAATCACTACTCATTAAACCAAGAATTTAATAACAGCTCTAATATTTCCCATGTAGAAAACAGGCCACAACAGCTTAATTCACACACAAGCCAAAAAAACCAAACAAGTTTTAACTAACACACATACTTTCTCACTAGTTCAAATACACCCACAAAAATACAGATGACTAAACACACACACACACACACACACACACACACACACACACACACACACACCGTGCTAAAAGAAAGAGATGGCTAAAGACAGTTATTGCAGAAGCCCAAACACCTTCCTCGGAGTGTGTGTGAGCGAGAGCACACGGATAGAACATTCCTGGCATAAAACATTAGTGAAAATAATGTCACAGAGGGGAAACTGGTGAGAGTCCAAGGCTTTTGGTCACCAAAGCGAAAGACAGCAACAGTTGTGCACATTCACACATCTGTACTCAACATGCTCATGTGAGTGTTATCTAACGTGCTGAGCTCACCGTTCTGCTCTGAAGTGGGTCACTATCAGGACCATCAGTTTCAACAGAAGTTCTCTTCCACTAGATGTTCTTCTTCATAACAGTGCAAATCAAGACTAAGCTTACAACAACTTTCCTATCACATCAATCTAAACGGCAGATGGTGAGGATAATCATGAATTCACACTTAATGGTGAACATTTTTGACAGGAAGTACTGAAAGACCCCTCTGTGTTTTGATACGGTAAACACTTTGCATGTGAATTAGAGTAACAACAAGCTGTTGAACATTAAGCAGGTTTTGATTTGTAAACATGGGCGACCACAAGTTAATGTGCTCATGCAGGACCATTTATGAATGACCCATTTATGTAGCATCATTTTTATTAATAGATTCGGAATGGATCTAGTCTATATAAAAGGTCATGCTCTTATTTAAAAAAAAAAAAAAAACATCCATTCCACAGTAGCCTTGCTTTCTACTATCTAGTATAAGGCATCCTAACTGGAACACACTACATAGGCAGTAACCCATGGGACTTGAATCACAATTGTTTTAAAGAGAGTACCACATTAGCATGTTGCTAAGCTAACAGCAAAATACTCACATTTTCTTAAAAATACACAAATTAGGTACAAAGTCCATTTTTATGACTGTCTAGGAACTATTTTATAAACAAATCTTGGTATTGAAGGAATTGCAACTATTTATAAACTACAATCTTTTTGACTCGTCGGCCATCTTGGAAGGAAAATGAGAGAAACAAACTGCCTACTTTTTAGAAAAGAAACCAAAAACTCATTGCACCTTCAAAAAAGTCTGAAATGAGGTGTGTAGAACAAAACAAAACAAAAATCCAGACAATCATAAACGCAAAAAGAGGCCCTTAAAAATGCAAATGTTTGCACTTTTTTGCCTTTTTTCAGTAAAGCAGTGGCTTTTTTTAAATCTTGAGTTTGGTTTTCTTTGTCTTTAATAGATTGTGTGGGCCAACTTTTTAGAAAACCCTTTATGTTCAGGAATGCGCCTATGATGCCTATGAAGGCAGCTCACGAGGTTTTGCAACAGAGCCTTCATGTTATTTTATAGCTTTACCTGAAAACTGATGAAATTGCAAAATTTATTCAACATACAATGAAATTTCAAATGGTGTCAGTCATGCGTGTAGCATGCAAAGTCAGGAGCTGTGGTATCCGAAGCAGCAGTGGGAGCAAGACTTCTCCACCCTTATTTTGATTCCAAAACAAACACCATCCTGCTATTGTTTCTTTCATCCGAATAGATCTATTGCTCCCCAGCTGGAGGAACACAGTGTTCTGTGACACACAAACGGGAGCGGAAAGGATTACTCCTGGCTCTGGGATCACAACCGTGACCTATCCTTCACTCTGTGTGTGTGTGTGTGTGTGTGTGTGTGTGTGTGTGTGTGTGTGTGTGAGAGACACGTCTATGTTTGGATGCCTCTACAGGTACTTGTAGAATGTGTTCCAAAAATATTGTTTCTCCACTGTCTAAACAATGAAAAAAATGTGTAAACAGGAACAGCAACAGTAGCTGCATGTCTCAAGCATTACAAATTGTAAAAGAAGAAAAAATGTGGCGGCAGTGGAAAAAATCTATTGCAGGAATGGATGCGCTGAGTTGACGGATAGAAAGACATGCAAAGGGAGTGGCCTGTGAGACTAGAGGGCTGAGAAATAGTCAGCTGAATAAAATCAAAATTATTTTTGAGCTAAAACATTTAGTGAAGCTCATCTTTTGGTCAGCACTGCACTTAAAAGGCGATCTAAATGTCTATACCTACCTGATGATTAAGGGCATAAAGGGAGCTAATCCCAGAGGAGATGATGAACCATCCATAGGAGACGGGTAGAGACGACCCAAAACCAACAGCAACAAGAAAAGACTGGGGTGCAGCTTCACCTGCCCTGAATCACTGAAAGAGAGAGAAAGGGAAATATGTTACATTTACTTACCTAAAATACGTGACTTATGTAACTACCTTAACTAACAAGTTAACTTCCTTAACTTATGTAATAATGTAACCAACTAAGGTGAACTACTAAATTAACAAAACTTAAGCTACTAACATGGCTAACACAAATAACGGTTGGCTTTGCTAACAGAACATAACTTCCTTAAACTAGCAAAGCTTCATTCACTCACTAACCTACTGTATATTACTAACTGAACTAACCTAAGTAACTTACCTGTATGTGGCTTTATAAATGTCTCTAACTCCAACTAGAATAACTTCCTCCACTTACTAATGTAAGAAACTAACTGAACAAACCTGGCTTACAGTATCTACACGCGAGTTCCTAACTTCTCTAATTACTAAACTACCATAGCTTCCTTCTCTTACTAACACGCATAACTAACAGAAATAAGCCATATGTATGTGACTTCATAACTTCTTAACTTACTTAACTTGTATAACACATTTGGCTAACATAACTTCCTCTACATACTAATGTAACTAACCCAAAACTAACTTATCTATATGTGTTTTCATAACTTCTCTAATTATTAAATTGGCAAAACTTTCTTCACTAACATATATAACCAAATTAACTAACCCAACTAACTTGTATGTGACTTTATAACTTCTCTTACTTATTTTACTAGCATAGCTTCCTCCCCTTACTGATGTAACTAACTGGACTAACCTGCATGACTATCATTTGTTTAACTTAATTTGCGTAACTTCCATCACTTACTAACATACAGAACTAACACAATTAACCTAACTTACCTGTATGTGACTTCAGAACTGTTCTAATGTAACTAGCATAACTTCCTTCACGTACTAACATATATAAATAACTTAATTAACCTAACTTACCTATATGTGACTTCATAACTTCTCCAACTGACTTATTTAACTAGTATAGCTTACTTTAATAACACAACTTTCTCCAGATTCAAATATAAATTACTAACTGAACTAATCTAACTCATCTATATGTGATTTCGTAACTTCTTTAATGATTAAACGCCCTTCACTTACTGACGTACAACAGTACTAACCTAACCAACTCACCTGTTAGTGACGTCATAATGTCTTTAACTTATTTAACTTGTATAATACAGTTAGCTAACATAACTTTCTCTACATACCAATGTAACTAATGTAACTAACCTAACTTATCTAGATGTGTTTTCATAACTTCTCTAATTACTAAACTGGGATAACGTCTTTCACTTACTAACATATATACCAAAATTAACTAACCCAACTAACTTACCTGAAAGTAACTTCATCCACTTACTAACCTAACTAACTGAACTAACCTGTGTAACTTTATCATTTGTCTAACTTAACTTGCGTAACTTCCATCACTTACTAATATACATAACTAATAGAATTAACCTAACTTACCTGTATGTGACTTTAAAAATTATCTTACTTATTTTACTAGCATAGCTTCCTCCACTTACTAATGTAACTACCTGAACAAACCTGTGTGACTTCTTCATTTGTCTAACTTAACTAGCATAACTTTCTTCACATACTAACATATATAAATAACTGAATTAACCTAATTTACCTATATGTGACTTCATAACTTCTCCAACTAACTTATTTAACTAGTATGGCTTAACATGGCTTTCTCCATATACAAATATAAGTTACTAACTGAACTAATCTAACTCATCTATATGTGATATCATAACTTTTTCAATGATTAAACACCCTTCACTTACTGACGTACAACAGTACTAACCTAACCAACTTACCCGTATGTGACTTCTCGAATTACTAAACTAGCATTTACTAAACTGCACTTACTAAGATACATAATGTATCTTACCTGTATATTATAACTGATGTTTTAGCTGAGGTTTCAGAATTAGCAACCTATCTATTAAGAGTTTCAATGACAAGATGAGCACATGTACACATGGTCACCATTACTAACCCAATGGCCCTTCACTTCCTTTCGCTTTTACTACATTTCTGCACATGTTTCTCTGACAGTCCAGTGGAAACTCAAGACTTAAGCCAGAGCAAACACATGAAAAAAAAAACAAAAAAAAACAGACAGAAAAACACACAAAATGTAAATTACTCATATCTTTCTATTACTGTGAAAGGGCCAAAACCTGTTCTGTTCTCTAAAGGCCATGCGCTGTCCACGGCACAGCTGCCAGCTATGGATACGCTTGTCATTATTACATCAAACATGGCCAAACTCCCCACCACCAAGGGGTCCCATGAGCCCGTAGACCCCGGGCCAGAGCGCAGGAAATGCTATTTTGCTAATCAGGGCCCGGGTAATGCGTTTAGAGTCTGATTTCAGTCAGGCACAGTGTGGGACAGCCAAGAACTTGAGATCATCACCAAGCCCAGGGAGATTAAAGTGTTAAACATCATGCACATTCAAGAAAAAGCTGGAAGGGAAGTGCGAGAACGAACCAATGAAATATGACAAATCAGAGGAATGGAAAAAGACGTTAAAATGAGCGAAAAAGTTCAGCGAGGGTGAAGAGTTGATAAGCCTGGAAGAGAATGTGAGATTAGCAAAGCGAGTTTCAGTCTTGGCTCCACTTGCCCCGGTCTTTTCATCTCATTTCATCTCTGGTGCATGTCCAACCGAACCCTCTCGGCACTCATTTCCCAGGTTAAACGTTTAAAATTGTTATAAACCCCTCAAGCTGAGGCAAATCATTCATCACGATTTCATCCGTGCTCGTGAAATCTTCATATCGCAAACCGGTTTACAAACTGCGAGGAGGGCGATGAACCGTATTCTAGCGTTCCCACATGCTTTTAAAGCCTGCTTTCCAGATAAAAGAAACATTCTGGATTGAACTTCAATAGGAAAAACTTCTCAATCACACTAAATGGCGAACTCCCCCCTAGACATCCCATGATGCTCTTTTCATATTTGGTAAAGGTGGGTGGTGCAAACCTCTTCGCACTTCTCTCTACCCTTATTTATATGCTAAATAATTTATAGGGGGTATAAAATACGAGTGCTGCAGAGCCTAGCTTGGCGAGCAGGATGCAAAGACTAGGCCGTAGGAAAGAGTCAGACCACTCTTAGCTAAAATGAGAGAACGCCAGACTGAAAACGCATCAAAATAATTTGATACATATTAAGATAATATTGGCTCAAGGGCCTCTTGCACAACGCAATTGCTATTTGGAAGAGTGGCGCATCAGTCTGTGGAGAAATTATTTGAGGGAGTTAAGAGACTAACATTCTCACAGCCGCCGGAGAGCGAGGACTGGATCCAACATGGCCGAAACTCCCACAAGCGGTTTACTTATCTGAGGCATCTCAGCTAGGAATCTGTCCATCAGTGTGGTCAAAATGCTTAATAGGTCTAAAAAGGCTTGATGGGGCACTTAAACGATCTTAAATAAGGGCCTCTGAGAAATTAAAGAAGGGTGAGAAGAAGAACTGGGTTCGTTTTTAGTGAACGCTGGGATCGTTCAGCTCTTTAACAACATCCGACGCAAATCGCACACACATTGCAGGGTTCTGTGATGTTATAGGTGGCCTTTCGTTGGGAAATTCTCACCTGTTCACAGAGGCTGCAGCTTCCTGTAGCTGACTGAGGAGGAAGGGATAGAGGGCAGGAAAACGAGTGAAAAACTCTCGGCCGGTCATTCTGTTAAGAGAAAAGTGAGAGAAATTAAGGTTAAAGTATGTGTAGGATTGCAGATTAGATCAGAAAAGAAATGACGAATGAATGACACTAATCTGACATCAATTGGTAACCAGTTTTTCTGTTTGGCTGATAAGTTTCATAAGTGAGACTTTTATTTTAACAGTATTTTGCAGACTAGAGTGCCTATTCTTAGTTTATGGTGTTCAACAGCTCTGTATTTTTCTTTTTTTAGCTGAAAACAAAGGTCTGTTATTACACCCGAATGGCGGCTTCAGTCTGAATCACATGAATGATAAAGGGCAGAAATATTTGCATACTATAAGGGTGCGAATACGGGTTTAACATGCATCTTCATGAATATGTATCCTCATATTTAATTGTAGCTCTGATTGATTTACAAGTGTAATTTTGGCCACCCTGAAATAGGTCATAACATTGAAATTACCAGAGTAGTTGAATTAAATATGCTAGAAAAACCTGCTCCTCCAAAAATTTGCATTTATTGCATAGACGGAGCAAGAGCATGATGAAAATGTTTAAAATGCATGTGTGCAGTTCAGTCGAAAGCTTGCCCTCTTTGACCTGTTGTTAATGCCGTTAAACTGAATGCAAGTAGCAAACTGTCTGCCTAACCACAATGTAAACAACAACAGTGAAATAAGGATGTGCGGTTTATCTTTCAATCAATGTTGCATTGCCTACTAAAGCAACAGTAGACTCGCAGCACATTCAGAACCATCATTGTACTGTAGAAAAGTAAAACCTTTGTGAAAAGATAAAAGACGCTCAAGCCATGCAGAGGTGTGTTATAAAATGTCTGGTATAAATAAATATAGTTATCAAGAATAATGCATTGAGGTTTCAGTCAAAAATTAGAATTTTCTGACCTACTGCATATCAGGCTTTATAGGGTAAAAATACTGTAATTGTCATTTCACATCACAGTGCATTATGGGATTGTTTCCTCTGCTATGGATACGTGCAATTCTGCCAAAAGAAGGTATTTCTTTTTGGAAACACCCTTTGTGTCAGGAACGTGCTGCCTACGTAGGCAGCTCACTAGATTTTGGAACAGAGCCTAAGTGACACAAGGAGAGGAGAGAAAGAGACTGCAACCTTTAAAGGTCTGGTTTGTAAACCACTTCCTAAAGTCTGCTCTCTTTACAGCTCTATAAAGCTCTCATTAGCGCAGCTTCTGATGGAGCGCTGCAGGGACACGCGGCTCCCTGCTTGTTTATTCCTTAGAAAGCAGAGCGGCTGGAATAAACCCTGGGAATTTCACTCGAGACAAATGCATATGTGTTAAGACAGACAGTGAAAGTGTATGCGTGTGTGACACACATAAACGTATCTTTATTTAGCTAAGCCTCTCTGTTTAAGATAGACCATCTAATAAAACGTTTTGTTTTTTTCTTCATGTCTAACTGAAACAGCCCATACAGGGCTAACTTTAGCTCAAGAGCCAATGTTTCAAACACACATGTTGTGACTTCAGCCATGTGAAATACACACATACACAAACACACCACATCCTGTTTCAACCGCTAATGCACACAGTCTGGTCTGAACTTAGGCCAGGGCACTGACATGGTAACAAGGTGGGTCAGCTATGTCTGCAACCTGGCCACATGCTGCATGCTAGCAACACACACACACACACACACACGAGCTCTGACGTGGGCAAATGTGGTTACAGTTAAGCTCAACACAACCCTGCATACCTTCAGTATGGATTAGAGTCTTCCAGGCAAAACACTTCCAAGATGTCCATAAATGCAGCCTGTCGAGCTTAAACCATCTTTATCCGCTCGTTTGTCATTACTTACATTCACAAATGAATTTAAACTGATATAAATTTGCATATTATGTGTAATGCGCTTGAGTGTGTTGCATAGGGCCATCATAACCACAAACGCTGACCACACACACACACACACACACTACACTACAGTATTTCTTCAGCTAATTTGTTTATGTAATGTAAATAACATTCAGATCTTGAAAACAGGAAACAAACTTTTTTTTTTTTTTTGTATTGTGCACTAGATGACTGAGGTCAGCCAATAAAAGTCTCGGGACCAAGCAAACTCTCTGATCATATTCTGATAAGACCAAGCAAACTAACAAAAGTATCTTCTTTGCGGAGGAAAACAGTCAAACAAGTTACTACAAAAAAGGCACATGTTTAAAGAATCCAAACAAAATTGCCTAAGCCAGAAGATGGTATCAGATGCTAGACTTGTTTATAAACTTGAGTGCAACTGAAGTCATTACTCGTCAAAATATGTTTTATACAATGGTTTAAAGACTTTCGTTTTGTTTCATTTCAGTGTTTAACTAAGATGTGTATCATTCGTTTTTCAAACTCTGATTTGACTCCTTTGATCTAGTCCAAATAGACCAATGAAAACATTACTCTGAGTGCTTTGTTTTGACGGTAATCATTGTTTTAATGGCAAGAATCAGATCAATTCATTTTTATAGTTGTGCAAAACAACAAATCTAAATGTAAAACATGTTTGAAAAGCAATCCAATCCAAGAAACACAAACAAACCCCACTTACATTAATGAATTCGGAAGAGCACAGCTACTAAAACTCAAATTTGATAAACAAATGTGTGTTTGATAAACAAATTAAAGATTATACAACTCTCTTGTTTTAGGTACACACACAAAAAAAAAGTGCCGCATGATTTACATTTTAATTATTTGTGAAAATTGCTAGCAATTTTTGAGTGAAAATTATTTCAAAGAAACAAACATGAAATTTTGAGATAGATAGACTGACAGTGTTTTCTTGGGAAAACATACTCCAATATTTTTTTTTGTATGTTTAAAGCAAATGTGTCCCAAATTACACTACTGTTCAAAAATTTGGTGTAATTCATTTTTAAAAATAAATTTATATTTTTATTCAGAAAGTATGCATTAAAATGATCAAAAGTGACAGTGAAGAATTTTACTTTGTAACAAAAATCTTTAAATAAATGTTGTTCTTTTAAACAAAAAAAAAGTATTTCCACAAAAATACTAAGCAGCACTGTTTTCAACAGTGATAATAATAAGAAATCAGCATGTTAGAATGATTTCTGAAGGATCATGTGATACTGAAGACTGGAGTAATGATGCTGAAAATTCAGCTTTGCATCACAGGAATAAATTACATTTTAAAATATATTCAAATAGACAGTTAAGAAGTTCTTTTAAATCATAATTTTTCACAATATTACTGTTTTTACTGTATTTTTGATCAAATAAACTTCAAACTTTTGAATGGTAGTTTTAGAGCCTTACACTTAACTATCCATTTTCTTTTTAAAAACATGTGAATACATAGCAAAGAATAGCGCAGACTTATGTGAGATGGGTGGATTTTTGGAGAATGCAGTCAGTCTTCCGTGCAAAAAGAAAATTTGCATACTGTGCACAGTACACACATTCTATGCTGCAGAAATAGTGAGATAGTATGCTATACAGGACATAGCCACAGTACACACAGATCGTAAACAAAAAGACCCAAAAAGCCATAACAGAGAACGGCCTGTCAAAATGTTTGACAAGTACATGTCAGCGCACAAATCACAAGACTCACAAAAACACTTGCACACAGGAAGAGAAATTGAACAAAACAACAATAAGCAATAGCCGAGTGACCCGCAGGATGAAGATGCCTGCCATACAAACACATAAAACTAAAGACAAACACATCGAGATGTCGGACAAGCTGGCGGCAGGGTTATCCAGAAAGTAAACGGTCCTGACTATGGGGAATATATCCAGACCGAAGAGCCAGCCTCATTTCATTGCGATTATACGGAGTTTCAGTGACCTCTAAATATTCAGCGTCTCTTTAGAAAATCCTAGGGTAATGCCACGGTCAGCTGACCTGGGAGCACATGGGCTCTTTGAAGTGTGAGGTAGTCCAACACACTGGCTTGTGTCATTACGGCCCGCTTGATTCTCCAATTAAGTCCAATCAGCACACCGATTAATCATAACAAACGATGATCTCAGGAGTGATCCGTTATTGTTTTTCAACGAGGTCAGTGCCACGCCTGCTTAGTCATTCCTCACTCCATCCGTGACCTCTCTGCATTCAATCCCAGAATGCATCAGGACATTCTTGCAACAGCTCGCGCTCCACTGGTTTGGATGGGATTAGGGAGCTGACGCAGAGCAGTCGTCGCCGCAGCAGGAGGTCCCATCACGGCCCACCCGCCCCATCCTGCGGTGGCCAGGGATCAGAGGTCACGGTCAACCGGGCAGCAATGGAGAGGGTGTGAATGTGTGCAAGAATTGTGTCAACGTTTGTGCGTGCTTGGGCAAGATGTTGTTAGCATTCCCTCTACTACGGAAAAGATAAACACGCGTTGAAGTGCGTTAACCCCTGTGCGTCAGCTCCAATACCTGTCAAGAGTTTTGATCAGCACAAGGGAAAAGTTGAAACCACGAACAAAAGAGTCTTTGCGAGACATCCCATAAACGTGGGATGAGGATAGAACAGAACACAAACAAAGGCCATCAGGGAGTTAGGAGGAACATCCAGAACATTTAAGGGGCTGGAAGGTGTCCATGCGCTGTAGGCCAACATACGACAGAGATTAATGACTGGAATAGAGGACTGGAAGGAGAAAAAGCACAGAACTTCAGTGCCCCCTAGTGAACAACCCCTGACAGAGCAGGATCACACAGGACTCACCTCAAGATCTATTCACATTAAGTGAGCTGTGGCAAGCCTTGCATCGAAACGATGCATTCTAATGGAATGCTTGCATCAAGTCTGGAACACTTGCTTTGCATCTGAAATGCCTTTCCTTTTCAGTTATCAGATATCACAAATGTCTCTTCTCAACCTTTTCTCTCAAACCACCTGGGTCCATTTTGCAATGTTCCAGCCACTTTCTTCCAACTCCCAATGAATAACATCAAGTTCTGTCTTATTTGCAAACATATTAAATTACATTAGTATCATGGGTTGCAATAGCATTTTGGTAGTATTTTTACACAGTGAAGGCATTGAGTCACAGATGACAGGACAAGTACACTGTAAGAATTGCAACTTCCATTCTGTCAGAAAACTCTATTTTGATAGTTGACAGACTGTAGAAAAAGTTGACACTACATAAAATATTAAAGTCAACTTTTATGACATTTACTATGAGCAACTTAAAATATTTAACAGCAAGAACTTACAATGTCAACTTTGGTCAAACTACCATGATGAGTTTGATCACCGATCACCCATAATCCCTTGCACTTGTTTTTGGTTAAAGCATGGGGACTTATGAGCACAAGCAATTATTTGCCATTTAAAATGGGCTTTGTTTAGTTTTAGCTATGTTTAGTGTAGGCCTGGGTGATAAAACGGTATCGATATTTATCGACGGTACACCTTTTTCGATAACGATATACAAAAATGTTCGATATAGCGCACGATATAGGCACGTGCTATGAGTGACGCAGACAGCAAACACAAACACAAACACGAACATGAGTGTTGTGCCTGCCTGTGATAAGGAGATTGTGAGTAAAAAAATGATTAGTCGAATTTAAAATAAACATTTGCATTTGAATGTTAGGAGTGCGTCAGGGAGCATCATCAGTGGCGCGCGAGATGCGGTGATAATGATGTAAGTGACCTTGTTGCATTTTAATGTTTTGTTAGCCTAGCCCACGAGATGCACCGCTGCTGCGTTATTCATTCAAAATATTACAGAAATATAGAAGCTCAATGCGGAGAAGATGTTGAATGGGTTAAAGCCATTCACACAGAACGCATATTCAGTGCATTTTTAGACAGACAAATACAAAATTATATTTGATTTATATGAGTAAATTTAGACGTAATGCACATTTTTTTATAGACAGATATTTCCTTGCGTTCACAATTTAAATATGCTGCATTATTTTGCTCATTGCACCCTCCTGTGGCCTCAGGAGACAAGCCAAAAGTTTTCTTTAGATCTATTTAATCTGCATATAAAACATTAGAAATTAGATATTCGTTAAATTTGTATTGTGTGTTTGACTGTTAAAACAAAAAAATATTTGTTGTTTGTCTCAATAAATTGGGTTAATTTAAAAATACAGTGGTTAAATTGTCAAAAAAATTTCTATTGCTCTTTATTTTAAAAAAGGTTATAAAAAAATGTCAATAATCATCGATACCGAACGATATGAAACATTATATCGTTGACACATTTTTTAGCTATATCGCCCAGCCCTAGTTTAGTGGGGGTTTTTTTTGTTTTTTTGCATTTTTGCCTTTTATTACTATAGGACAGTATAGAGGCACATACAAGGCTATCGGTGCTGACCTGTTTAGTGTTTTTAATAAGTTCTGTTTAAAAAGTCATGTTTTGTTTCATTATGAGGGTAAGTAGTTGTCGCTTTGATGAAGTTTCTTTAATTTTAAAGAGCAAGTTTTATAAAGTTATTTTGGTGCATAGAAACAACTCTGTATGACCTTTTGTGCAACTAACTCATGTTAAGCAGCCTTTAATTGTTTAGTGGAAAGGTCTGCCAAAATAAGAGTGTTTTACCTTAATAATGTGTAATATTAATATCTTATTAAACTTGGATTCACAAGTTAATAAAGTTTATAAAACTTGTTTTATTATGTTTGCTGAAAGCACAGACCGACTTTAAGTTGACCGGTAATTATTCTATAAGTTGAGCTGAAATTAAAAATTAAGTTAAATTAAAAAAAATAAAAAAAAAAAGTAATGAAACTGGTTGCTTTAAGTCTTCTCAACTACCGGTTTTTTTTTTTTTTACAGTGTAGTTGGGAATGGTACATAAAACAACTGAAGTCACACCTGTTCTTTTTGGAGTGCTCATCTTTTCCCTTCTTTACCCCAAATATCCGCGTGATCAGAGTGCTAAACAGGAGAGTCGAGGAGTTCCTCACCTAGAAAGAGGACAGGATGGAGAGACTGACATCAGAGCAAATCTTCCCTCCATGTACATTAATCATTCGAGCTTTGACGCACACTATTACATTAAAGAGGTCAACTTCATTTCAAATCTTAAAAATGTGGTGCTTGTGTTGTGGCTACTCCAAACATCAGTATGCTGTGCACACAGACAGACAATTAAAACAAATATTGCAAATGATTGAAACGAAAATATAAAAAATGCTTTCTGTGAGTCAAGTTCAGACTGATAATGATGTTGAATGCAAATGGATTGCTGTGGACTGTAGGCCAGCAATACACTTATAGACTGATATGCAAATACAATTAACAACATGTTAACTTCTACAGCCAGATTTGCCCATCGCAACACTACTGACAGCAGACAATGGATTGACAATGCCTGTAAAATTTCACCCAAATTCTGCAAATGTGACTGCAACTTTAAAGACAAAGCAATGAAAAATGACTTAAAATTTGACTTAATGTTAGGGAAAAGTAGAAAATGCTCATGAAAACTAAATAGTGACTGTTGGTACTAACACTTCAAAGGGATAGTTACAAAAAAATTAATATTTACTCAAACTTATGTCTGTACGACGTTATGTCACTTCTTCTGTGGCACATTAAAAAAACATTTTGAGAAATGCGTCAGTGTTGTTTTGTGTTCATACAATGGAAGTCAATGAGCTCCAACGTTCTTCAAAATATCTTCATGTTTCACAGGAGAAAGGAAGTCATACAGGTTTGGAGCAACTTGGGGTGAGCAAAGAGGAAAAACTTTCATTTTTGGGTGGATCATTTCTTTAAATAGACCTCAGGGGGAAAATGTAATAAAAAGATATGATTTAACATGAGAGAGTAGCGAGTCAGAGCACATGATGATGGCCCTCGAGACGATTACAATGCAAAAATTGGTCTTGGAGCTCAAGGGTGTACAAGAGTCACAAAGTCCACGTCATGCAGGATTTGCAGGGCCTGATGACATCTTGTTCCAGGAACAGTAAAACGCCTTCAAATCACAATCTTATGTGGCTAAAGTAATGCTGGACACACCAAACTTAATGTTCGAAGTGTTACTGCCTCATAACTTTGATCACATTTTTAGGTCAGCTTAAGAAACATTCCTCACAGACTACAAGAAGAATGTGTGTGTTCTCTGTGACTGACTGACTGCTGCATTCTGGGAAGGATTAGGCCTACTGTACTCTACAGTAAAGCCTGCTGGCTGGAGCGCTGCAGTAAAGAAGCACACGGCTACAGTAGCAGATCTTTTGACATCTTGAGAGTAAGGAACGAGTGGGAGGGGTGGGGGAAAGGACTCAAAAGGAATGAACCTGATAAGAAAATTAAGTGAGGAGAGATGTATGAAAGAGACGTAAAAGCAGACAGACAGGTATGAGGGAGGAGAGCACAGGAATGTGACCTGGAGTTGTCGCCATCGTGACCTGTAGGAGCCGAGTCACCCATGTGGAGGTGATCAAAGCGAGCAATCTAGGGCAATCGGCCAGGACCACCGCACAGCTGTGTGTGTGTGTGTGTGTGTGTGTGTCCGCACGTACGGCTCCTGTCCCTAGTGTTCTAATTCACTTTAATTATTAACCTGTCAGTGCCTCAGCAACAGCTATGGCCTGACAGGGTGGTGTACTGTACGTGAGGAACAGTGAAAAAATGAGTGAGAGAAAGGATTATATACACTTTAAGCCCCTTTTACAAAACAATAAAATGAAATATGTTTAGTCTGTGCAATGCATGTATATTTGGATGCTTCAAGTCAAACTCAAAAATATTTAAAGGGGTCATCGGATGCGACATGCACTTTTACAAGTTGTTTGAACATAAATGTGCGTTGGCAGTGTGTGTACACAACCACCCTATAATGATACAAATCCACCCAGTGTTTTTTGGGTTTTTTTAATCTACTAAAATCTTTACCCTTTTCTCATATCGAGCCGATATACGTATATACGTCAATGTGACGTCACACAGACAGCAGATGTAGACAAGAACGGCAGTCACAGTGTATACTATATATTAAAATAAAATTAATTGGCTATGTCGGCAACACTTTACTTTATGTAAGCCTTTATGTCTATTGCATTATAAGATTAGTTTTAGTGCATTTATTATGCATTTTAATGGACCTTATAATGCATTGTATGATCTTAATAATAATTATAATCAGTTAAAATGCATTAAAATACTTATCTGTTAACTGTTACACCTGTAGAAATGATAATGCATTAAAACATGGAACAAACAAACCTTCCAATATTATAATGCATTTTAGAATTATTTATAAAAATATATAATTCATTACACTGTACATTATGTATACCTTTATAATGTGTTACCACTATATCTAATAAAATGGCATGATGGTACTTCGAGATACATATTCTGTGGTCAACCATGTCTGAAAAGCCATACTTTTTTTGTTATTGAAGGAACCTACATAGACATTGTATAAAAATAAGTAAAAGGGTATACTCACGGCCCACACAGGAGAAGTGAAACCCAGGATAGCAGCTTGCATGCCATCTGACACAAATGGCACAATGTTCTCCCCCAGACGTGTGTCTCGATACAAAGCCCTCAGGATGTTCAGAGCGTGGACCTGTACGTACACAAAAACAAAGACCCATTAAACATGCCTGATTCTACTCATATTTTCCTCTTAGAGAAGAAGTGTGTGTGTGTGTGTGTGTGTGTGTGTGTCCACCTGTGGCACAGAGCTGCTCTCAGTATCTGCATCATTAGAGGGCATAGCCAATGCCATCAGAGATCTCATGGTCATCTTCAGGAGTCCACAGCTGGATGATTTGGGCTCAGAGGACAGCAGGGCCTACAAAGAGACAACATTATTACAGCTATCACTTACAATGGAGGATTAACAGGCAAGTTCCCACACATTTGACATGGTTTGGAATGACATGAGGCTGAGTAAATGATGACAGAAGCTTCAGTTTTAGGTGAACTGTCCTTTAAGCTGTATTTCAGACAGCACATTCCTTTGAGACGGGGACAGTGAATGAGGAAAAATGACTCACAGTATGTAACCGAATACGGCCTCTGTTCTTTTGTCCTCGTGCCAAAGGGTGTGAACTCATCGCACAAGACCACCTTTTCCGGGACATACCGCAGGAATGTGCGCTCATGCCAGGTGTTGAGTCTATTCATCCTCTCCCCATCTTATTCTTCCCTAAAACCCTCTCATTGTCTTGCGTTTCAAGGCACATACAAGGCTATCGGTGCTGACCTGTTTAGTGTTTTTAATAAGTTCTGTTTAAAAAGTCATGTTTTGTTTCATTATGAGGGTAAGTAGTTGTCGCTTTGATGAAGTTTCTTTAATTTTAAAGAGCAAGTTTTATAAAGTTATTTTGGTGCATAGAAACAACTCTGTATGACCTTTTGTGCAACTAACTCATGTTAAGCAGCCTTTAATTGTTTAGTGGAAAGGTCTGCCAAAATAAGAGTGTTTTACCTTAATAATGTGTAATATTAATATCTTATTAAACTTGGATTCACAAGTTAATAAAGTTTATAAAACTTGTTTTATTATGTTTGCTGAAAGCACAGACCGACTTTAAGTTGACCGGTAATTATTCTATAAGTTGAGCTGAAATTAAAAATTAAGTTAAATTAAAAAAAATAAAAAAAAAAAGTAATGAAACTGGTTGCTTTAAGTCTTCTCAACTACCGGTTTTTTTTTTTTTTACAGTGTAGTTGGGAATGGTACATAAAACAACTGAAGTCACACCTGTTCTTTTTGGAGTGCTCATCTTTTCCCTTCTTTACCCCAAATATCCGCGTGATCAGAGTGCTAAACAGGAGAGTCGAGGAGTTCCTCACCTAGAAAGAGGACAGGATGGAGAGACTGACATCAGAGCAAATCTTCCCTCCATGTACATTAATCATTCGAGCTTTGACGCACACTATTACATTAAAGAGGTCAACTTCATTTCAAATCTTAAAAATGTGGTGCTTGTGTTGTGGCTACTCCAAACATCAGTATGCTGTGCACACAGACAGACAATTAAAACAAATATTGCAAATGATTGAAACGAAAATATAAAAAATGCTTTCTGTGAGTCAAGTTCAGACTGATAATGATGTTGAATGCAAATGGATTGCTGTGGACTGTAGGCCAGCAATACACTTATAGACTGATATGCAAATACAATTAACAACATGTTAACTTCTACAGCCAGATTTGCCCATCGCAACACTACTGACAGCAGACAATGGATTGACAATGCCTGTAAAATTTCACCCAAATTCTGCAAATGTGACTGCAACTTTAAAGACAAAGCAATGAAAAATGACTTAAAATTTGACTTAATGTTAGGGAAAAGTAGAAAATGCTCATGAAAACTAAATAGTGACTGTTGGTACTAACACTTCAAAGGGATAGTTACAAAAAAATTAATATTTACTCAAACTTATGTCTGTACGACGTTATGTCACTTCTTCTGTGGCACATTAAAAAAACATTTTGAGAAATGCGTCAGTGTTGTTTTGTGTTCATACAATGGAAGTCAATGAGCTCCAACGTTCTTCAAAATATCTTCATGTTTCACAGGAGAAAGGAAGTCATACAGGTTTGGAGCAACTTGGGGTGAGCAAAGAGGAAAAACTTTCATTTTTGGGTGGATCATTTCTTTAAATAGACCTCAGGGGGAAAATGTAATAAAAAGATATGATTTAACATGAGAGAGTAGCGAGTCAGAGCACATGATGATGGCCCTCGAGACGATTACAATGCAAAAATTGGTCTTGGAGCTCAAGGGTGTACAAGAGTCACAAAGTCCACGTCATGCAGGATTTGCAGGGCCTGATGACATCTTGTTCCAGGAACAGTAAAACGCCTTCAAATCACAATCTTATGTGGCTAAAGTAATGCTGGACACACCAAACTTAATGTTCGAAGTGTTACTGCCTCATAACTTTGATCACATTTTTAGGTCAGCTTAAGAAACATTCCTCACAGACTACAAGAAGAATGTGTGTGTTCTCTGTGACTGACTGACTGCTGCATTCTGGGAAGGATTAGGCCTACTGTACTCTACAGTAAAGCCTGCTGGCTGGAGCGCTGCAGTAAAGAAGCACACGGCTACAGTAGCAGATCTTTTGACATCTTGAGAGTAAGGAACGAGTGGGAGGGGTGGGGGAAAGGACTCAAAAGGAATGAACCTGATAAGAAAATTAAGTGAGGAGAGATGTATGAAAGAGACGTAAAAGCAGACAGACAGGTATGAGGGAGGAGAGCACAGGAATGTGACCTGGAGTTGTCGCCATCGTGACCTGTAGGAGCCGAGTCACCCATGTGGAGGTGATCAAAGCGAGCAATCTAGGGCAATCGGCCAGGACCACCGCACAGCTGTGTGTGTGTGTGTGTGTGTGTGTGTCCGCACGTACGGCTCCTGTCCCTAGTGTTCTAATTCACTTTAATTATTAACCTGTCAGTGCCTCAGCAACAGCTATGGCCTGACAGGGTGGTGTACTGTACGTGAGGAACAGTGAAAAAATGAGTGAGAGAAAGGATTATATACACTTTAAGCCCCTTTTACAAAACAATAAAATGAAATATGTTTAGTCTGTGCAATGCATGTATATTTGGATGCTTCAAGTCAAACTCAAAAATATTTAAAGGGGTCATCGGATGCGACATGCACTTTTACAAGTTGTTTGAACATAAATGTGCGTTGGCAGTGTGTGTACACAACCACCCTATAATGATACAAATCCACCCAGTGTTTTTTGGGTTTTTTTAATCTACTAAAATCTTTACCCTTTTCTCATATCGAGCCGATATACGTATATACGTCAATGTGACGTCACACAGACAGCAGATGTAGACAAGAACGGCAGTCACAGTGTATACTATATATTAAAATAAAATTAATTGGCTATGTCGGCAACACTTTACTTTATGTAAGCCTTTATGTCTATTGCATTATAAGATTAGTTTTAGTGCATTTATTATGCATTTTAATGGACCTTATAATGCATTGTATGATCTTAATAATAATTATAATCAGTTAAAATGCATTAAAATACTTATCTGTTAACTGTTACACCTGTAGAAATGATAATGCATTAAAACATGGAACAAACAAACCTTCCAATATTATAATGCATTTTAGAATTATTTATAAAAATATATAATTCATTACACTGTACATTATGTATACCTTTATAATGTGTTACCACTATATCTAATAAAATGGCATGATGGTACTTCGAGATACATATTCTGTGGTCAACCATGTCTGAAAAGCCATACTTTTTTTGTTATTGAAGGAACCTACATAGACATTGTATAAAAATAAGTAAAAGGGTATACTCACGGCCCACACAGGAGAAGTGAAACCCAGGATAGCAGCTTGCATGCCATCTGACACAAATGGCACAATGTTCTCCCCCAGACGTGTGTCTCGATACAAAGCCCTCAGGATGTTCAGAGCGTGGACCTGTACGTACACAAAAACAAAGACCCATTAAACATGCCTGATTCTACTCATATTTTCCTCTTAGAGAAGAAGTGTGTGTGTGTGTGTGTGTGTGTGTGTGTCCACCTGTGGCACAGAGCTGCTCTCAGTATCTGCATCATTAGAGGGCATAGCCAATGCCATCAGAGATCTCATGGTCATCTTCAGGAGTCCACAGCTGGATGATTTGGGCTCAGAGGACAGCAGGGCCTACAAAGAGACAACATTATTACAGCTATCACTTACAATGGAGGATTAACAGGCAAGTTCCCACACATTTGACATGGTTTGGAATGACATGAGGCTGAGTAAATGATGACAGAAGCTTCAGTTTTAGGTGAACTGTCCTTTAAGCTGTATTTCAGACAGCACATTCCTTTGAGACGGGGACAGTGAATGAGGAAAAATGACTCACAGTATGTAACCGAATACGGCCTCTGTTCTTTTGTCCTCGTGCCAAAGGGTGTGAACTCATCGCACAAGACCACCTTTTCCGGGACATACCGCAGGAATGTGCGCTCATGCCAGGTGTTGAGTCTATTCATCCTCTCCCCATCTTATTCTTCCCTAAAACCCTCTCATTGTCTTGCGTTTCAGATCCAAAGCCCATTTTTTCCTTGACTTCAGTATTCAGCTATTTCTGACCTCTCAGAGGACTGTCCACTAGGGATGATCTCCATCATAAAAACTATATGGAATCAATTAACGATCCGCAGATGTTCGAGTAACACTAATGAAACTAATTCCTGGCGGTGGGAATCTTCAGAGATTGTCAGGTTATTACTTATTTGTACAAGTATGATTGTTTTGGAGGTACTATGCAACTAAAACATCACACACATTTGTGGGGAATTTTACAGTTAAGTACCTCTAGGCATTAAAGGTTCACCAGAGTAATTTTATGGTTACGTAGCCCCTGCTAATAGATTCGGCAACTACACTATTATAAGAGCATCTTTCTTCTTCTTCTTCTTCTTATTATTATTATTATTAATGTTGAAAACGGTTGCACTGCCTAATACATTTGTGGAAACCGTGATGCATTTTTTCAGGATTCTTTGATGAATAGAAAGTTCAAATGAACAGCGTTTATTTAAAAAAAGAATCTATGAAAATGTCAAAGTCTTTAGTGTCACTTCAATGTGTCCTTGCTAAATAAAAGTATCATTTATATAAGTAAAATATAAGTAATGTTGGTAAAATATAAGTACAATCTGGTAAAACTTTATTTTAAGGTCCAATTCTCGCCATTAACAAATCATTAACTACGGCTTTTGCCTCAAACTCCTAATTTGCTGCTTATCAATAGTTAGTAAGGTAGTTGTTAAGTTTAGATATTGGGTAAGATTAGGGATGTAGAATATGGTGGTAACACCAAAATTGCTTATTAACATTTCTATTATTAACATATTGGCTGTTAATTAGTGCTTATAAAGCACATATTCTGCATGACCATATTCTACATCCCTAATCCTACCCAATACCTAAACTTAACAACTACCTTACTAACTATTGATAAGCAGCAAATTAGGAGTGTTAGGCAAAAATCGTATTTAATGGCTTGTTAATAACGAGAATTGGACCTTAAATGGTTACTCCACCCCAAAATGAAAATTTTGTCATTAATCACTTACCTCCATGTTGTTCCAAACCCGTAAAAGCTTTGTTCGTCTTCGGAACACAATTTAAGATATTTTGGATGAAAGCGTCACCGTAGTGCCATTTTGGAGAGTGTCCACTGAACGTAAGCTGCGTATACTGTTCTACTTGTCAGCCGCACCACACGGATGCGCTGTTTTCGTTCAAATCGAAGTGTAAACAAACGTAGAAAACGTATCCGTGTCTTTCAGAATTTTCTGGACCTTGACAGTGTTATTTACTTGGCAGTCAATGCGACAGTCACAAGCCTCCCGGTTTTCATCCAAAATATCTTAAATTGTTTTCCGAAGACGAATGAAGCTTTTACGGATTTGGAACGACATGAAGGTAAGTGATTAATGACAAAAATTTTATTTTGGGGTGAAGTAACCCTTTAAAATAAAGTGTGACCAATATGGTCATGCAGAATATGTTTTACAAGCACTAATAAACAGCCAATATGTTAATAATAGGCATGCTAATAAGCAACTAGTTAATAGTGAGAATTGGTCCCTATACTAAAGTGACGCCATACTTTTGTCATTATAAATACACTGTAAAATACCCTATTTACCTATTAATACTGCAACTTGTATACAGCCACTAGTAGACCACTAGTGAAAATGTAAAACTTTTTTCCCCATTGAAATGTATGCATTCAGTTTTTAGTTAATATGATAATGTCTTCAAACATAGTTTTGTTTTGTGTGTACTTAAATGACAGAAACACTCGTGATTTGGGGTGCAACGGTACACAAACATGACGGTTCGGTACGTACCTCGGTTTTGAGATCACGGTTCGGTATGGTTTCTGTACCGCAGGAGGAGAAAAACTAAAATTGTTGTTTTTTTTATTAAACAATGGTTTACTGAACAAATTGCTCTTTCTTAAAAAAGAAAGAAATAAATTCAATTATAATTTTCTATAAATCTACCTAATAAAAAAAATAAAATAAAAAAAAATCTATAAAAATCTACCTCAGCTTCTGCTCTAAGTTGTAGGGAGCCCTTTTACATTAGGAAGGTTACAATTAACAACAGAGCCCAAACTTAAATTCAATTAGGCTACTATTTTATTTTTAACTATAATAATCAACACTCAAAAAAATTCTATGCAAACATGTATATTGCACTCAATGCTGTTTTTAAATTAACTTCTAAATTATACAATTTCTATTTGTTGTTGAAATATAATCATTTACACAGTGGCTTTCACAACTTGTTTCATAAAAGATTTATTTAAACATACATTAAATAATTAAGAACACTAACAGGTAAAGTAAAAATATAACGAGTCTAATATTTCACTTCTCTAGACTTAATTTCTCTAGTGAACTAATAATTAAGATATCACTAACAGGTAAAGTAAAATATAATGAGTATATAGTCTAATATTTCGCGAAATGCTCTTTTCTACACTTAATTTTTCTAGTGAACTAACAAGCTGTGGACACTGATGACTTGCCTGAGGTAAATAAAATGCTATGTGACATTTTGTTTACAAGCTGTTTTAATGACGTCTTTTCGCAATTGAAACACTGATTGAGCGATTACATGAGGCATGAGATGTTCATTCATGTTTATTTTATGGTAAAACTTGAAGTAAAGAGGAAGGGAAGCACTCCACGCTGCTGTTTAAACTGAGGCGTTCATACAGCGATCTGTCACGGCACATCAAAGAGCGACAAAACGACATTATTGTCTGAATTTCCTGAGAAAAAATGAATGATTTGTTTGGTACACATGCATACTGTACTGAAAGTCCCATACTGAAAATGTTTGGTATGAATAAGTGTACCGTTACACCCCTACTCGTGATTAGTGTTACAAATTCACTTATTTAAGAAATGTATATTTTATTTTACTATACTAATTTTATTTTACTTTACTCATTTCTTCATTTCTATTTTAATGTCATAACTTTCCTGTTTTCATGTTTTTAAAATCCTTTTTTCCCCCAGGTTTTATTATTTTTATTTTAAAAGTTGCAATTGCAGTGTAACGTACGTTCTGTATTATGTTGTAGATTAAAGAGAAATGGATTACTGGGTGGAGTAAATGCAGGGTGGGGACTTGGTTTTATCCATCGGCTGTTGATTGGATGGAGACAGATCTGAATGTGAGCTTGCAGGCGATTATAAAGTAAGAAAGGAGTGGTGTTTAAGCAGACTAAATGATTAGAAAAAGTCTGACGTCATTAGAGAGAAACCTGTCATTTCACTGGAAAATCGAGTTACAATACTGATTAGAACTTACAAGCTCATTACAAAGCTAAGCTAAAAAAAAAAATGACGTGCATGCACAAATCATTCACAATAAAATGAATAAGATGTATTAAGAAAATATAGTGGGGGGATTTCTAATTAGTAAACTTTAAATTTAGAAATTTATACAAGAGGAAAGTGCTATTGTTTCTTTAAGTGTAAATGATAAATTTGGGAGGATAAGAGATCTAGTGGTCTGTGCCGTACATAAAGGAGGCCCAAGATACGAACCTGTATATAGAAGGGTATTCCTGCACTGCGGCGGGTCGCACACAGTTTGGAGGAGGGGTCACTGGATTTCACTTCCTCAAGAACCTCCTTCAGCCAGTGTGCTGGCAGCTGTTGCAGCGTAGCGCTCCCACTCCTAACACACACACACACACACACACACACACACACACACACATTTGTTTATAAGACCTTGTTGTGGAATTCTGAACAAGACATTTTCTCCCAGGACTGTTGGTATCCAAGTCTGTGTGGTTCCCAGTGTCTCGCAGACATTTTTGTTTATGTTTTCTCTGATGTGATATTATCCACAGTTTTCAAAGCAATCTAAAAATCAAATCACATCCAAATGTGATCTCAAAGCACAGACTATAAAATTAATTGAATTTAAACACTCATTCAGGGAAAATGTCAGACTAGAGCCAAGTTATACTACAGAGGAAAAGCTGTGAAGATAAACATAATTTTCGTTGTGCAATCATACAGAGACTTGCTCTGTTGTCAGTCATGGTTTCCAAAAACAATATTAAGCTGCGCAACTGTTTGATAATAATTAGATATATTCTTGAGCAGCAAGTCAGCATATTAGAATGATTTCTGAAAAATCATGTGACACTGGAGACTGGAGTAATGATGCTGAAAATTCAGCTTTGCATCACAGGAATAAATTACATTTTAAAATATATTCAAATAGAAAACAGTTATTTGAAATAGTAATAATATTACACAATATTACCATTTTTACTGCATTTTTGGTCAAATAAATGCAGCCTTGATGAGCAAAATAGACTTCTTTCTTAGCAAATGCTACAGGAAAATGATTTTACTCACAAAGCCATGATTAATAAAAGAAATCTCAGTAAGTCACACCATTTAAGCAATCATTCATGTTCATAGCACAAACAGTACATGATGAGTTACACAACAACGAATAATATTTCATGTTAAAAGTTTGTTCAAAACCCTATTCCAAAGTATGAGCAATAATAAGAGAGATGCTTGCCTAAGCAAGCACTGTAATTACACTGCAAACCTCGGTTGAATACACACACAAACACATAGCAGGAGCTGCCCAAGCGTGTGCAGGACGCCCACTTTGAGAGCGGAGAAAAATGCGAGGCTCTCGTTATGAAAAGTACCGTTATACCAGACGCGCTGGACCGAACAGGCCAGATCAAACAATCCAAACCATACACACAAACACACACAATACACTACCCCAAACACAAGGGGAAACCTTCAAAAGGCAGGCGTCGAACGCCCCACAATCAACACCTCGTAACGGGCTTAGTGGTTGCCGGTGGAGCCGTGTAATCACACAGCAATGCTTTTCCTCCAGAAGCACCTCTGAGACTCCATACAGACACAACTGCTAATGCAGGCCCATCCACCACAAACAAAAAACGCTGCCATTTCAGGTTTGAGCATTTGTTTGCATGCCTGTTTTTTTAATAGATAGGGATGCTAGAAAATTTACTTGTATGGCAAAAGAGAAAAAAAAAACAGATCACCCACTTGAGCACAACATCTCAAAGGCTAGTCAGTATTACACAGTAATAAAAACCATATTTACGAACAGGTCTGGCTTCATTATGGTATGTAGTGCCCACTTTTCTTTTATTCTCAGATACACAGTCCAATAACTATCCAGTTTAATCTAGTTCAGTTTTTGTCTTTGCCCAAGCACTTAAAAGCACACAATACACCTACTTTTCTCCATTTCTCATAACCTGAGAGAGTTTGGCAGCACCAACATAATTGCGATTAACGTGTAGTGCTTGTCTCAAGTCGTATGGATGTAAATGAAGAAACAACTGGTTGTTGATATTTATGCAGCAAACATTAACCAAACTCACTTTCAAATTTCGGTTGTGAGTCTTGATAACGTAAACGAGTCTCTTCTGTTATTGTATATGCTTTGGATAAACAAAACTGTATTTATCACTCCTAACAGATTAGACAACAGCTACGACCAGTGTTATTTTTGTATTATTTTGTATGTAATTACAGTTATTATTTTCAATTAGCTTTTATTTTTCTATTTCAGTTTTCATATTAATTTTTTTTTTTTAAATAATGTTAGATTATTTTGTCTTTTTTGTCATTTTTAAAATAGTTCTAAACAGTTGCAATTTATTAGTATTTCAGTTTCAATATTATTCAAAATTTTCAGGGTTTCTGCAGGTTTTATGAAGGTAAACTGAAGACTTTTTAAAGACCTTTTAAGACTAAAAAAAAAAAAACCTTTAGGCTTAAATACCTCTGCTCCCAACCACAAGAATATAAGAACATTTTTACTGTATTTCTGCTGCTGCAAAAAAAAAAAGTGATGCTCATCAGTATTTTTGTCTTGTTTAAGATACACTTACTTGAGAAGCAAAACGAAATGAAAAAAAGTTCATTACTAAAAATATTTGCCAAAAAAAACAAAAAAAAAAAGGAAGTTTTCATACCTCACTGACAGATATTTATGTTGTTTTAAGCATAAACGCGCTTAATTCTGTTTAGTTTTAAGACTTAATTTTACATTTGCATCTTAAGTATCTGGATTTAAGGATGTTTAGATATTTTTATTGGAAAACAAAAATACTGATGAAAATATTCTTTTTTTTTTTTTTTTGCAATGCACGCAACATTTAATGCCATGACTTAATGAATTAATTATTAAATTAATTAATTCATTTCTTTTAGTTTAATTTAAGATTTTTTACAACCTTTTAGACCAACCGAAAACCTGATTTTAGTACTTAAACTTATTTCAGATAGTTGCCAAGGCAACATTTCTAATATTTTTTTTACTAAATAAATATTTCTATTTAATTTTAGCTTTATTTCAATTAACAAAAATATGTTTAATAATTTAAGTTTATGATAATAACACTGGACACTGATTGTTTTCAAATTTCAAAAGAGTTTCATGAAAACGAAGTAGAAACTGCAGAGAGGCAAATTAAAAGCAGAAGAGGAAAGCAGAAGGCAGGAATGGAGTCAGATCATTAAAGACGCTCCCTCGGCAACTCCACAGCAGCAGAAGCGATCTGATGTCCCACTCATGTCACACTCGTGGCAGCGAGCGAGTCAATTTCCTTAACCTCTGCACAGAGACCACATTCCAAAGCTCATTAAATCTCACATTTCCAGATGTTAACCGTTTTCAAACTTCCTGATTATTTGAAGCTTGTGCTTCAGGAGCAGTGCTGGTTTCCAGGATGCTGGTTGAGGAGGAGGAGGAGGACTGGACTCATTCAGGTATGAAGCATTATTGCCAAGCACAACATCAGGGGCTCTGGTGGAGCAGTCCTTATGACTCCCTCATTAATAAAGATGCACACTTGTTCTGACTAAGGCCTTTGGGATGAAAACATCTTGAATTTTGTAGATGACAAGGGGCCTATTTTACTGCACAGAGAGCTGATGAGTCTGGACTGTGTTTTAATCATTATTATATAACCGCTGGGACAGGTCGAGCAATCTGATTGGCTTAGATCTCTCACCTGCACAGCATCTCAGTGAGCCGAACAAATCCCACGTAGGCCAGTTCAAACGCCCCCCTGTGACGAGACTGCAGCAGCTGCTCCCGAAAGTACTGCCCCACACCTTCCACCTGACAGAAAGACGGACACAGAGATTAACAAGATGGACATGTGGAATTGGACACTCACATTAAAAAGTTTTCATTTTGCACATACTGCCTCAGTTAGGTTTTTTGAACCCATAAGTATACATGTTGAACCAGACATAGAGCATTCATTTTGAGGTCTACAATATTTTTACTTTTGTTTGTGTTTTCTCAGCACAACAATACAGGTGTTAATACTTCCATATAGCACCACTAAAATGTCCACTACATCATTTTCAGATAATAACTAAAATAATTACAATCATCACAATTTGAATCTACTAAACACGAGTAAATCAGGGAAGTCAGTGTAATTATACACATTTTTAAAATATAATAGACGCATAAAAATAAATTATTTCAATTAAATAATAATTAAAGCACTTTGAAACTATTTTCTTTTCTGGATAAATTGAGAATCACGTTGATTGAGAATTTATTTTAAATTAACATAAACATAGATAATATGCAATATAAATAAGTTTTAGAATCAATAGCTTTAAACATGACCACATATGATGTTTTAAGTTTCCCTCTTTCATAGATAGATCGTTTCATCTTATAAATGTGTTTAAATTCTTTATATTGTTCAGTCTTTTAATCTTTGGTAGTGACTCTCTCGCGAGAATTGAATCACAGTTTCAAGGCATGTGATTGGCTGTTCATTACTAATGTGACACTTTCATGTGCATGTGCTCCATTAACTCAGGATCAAGCCCGAGTTGACAGAGAAAGTTGATGATCAGCTTCATGGTACCAACAAAGCCGGATTTGGACTGGTTTGGTTGAAACTAATCCTGTAACCCTGAGTTTGTTCAGCCACCATCATGGTACAGGCCCCAGCTCTCTGTGTTAGCGGCAGTGCAAATGCAGATTTGAACGATTGTATGATTATTTTTTTTTTCAAAGGTTTAATAGACACGGGCGAATCGTTGTCATTTAGAAATTAGATTGCGTGGGTGTTTGAATCGAGATCACGATCGTGCAGCGCTACTGTGTATACACTTAATTTTCAATAATTAATTTAATGTAATCATTTTTAATTATTTCCAAATTGTATGTATATATATATATATATATATATACAGTGCTGTGAAAAAGTGTTGGCCCCCTTCCTGATTTCTTATTTTTTTGCATGTTTGTCACACTTTAATGTTTC